CGGCACAGAAAAATTTGTGGCAAATTACGGTCTTTGTAGTAATTTGGTAAGTTCAAAAAATTTATTTGGTTGACCTATAAAAAAAGTCAACAAAGTTTTCAAAACTTTTTTTGAAAATCCGCCCCCCCTCCCTCGAGAAATTCCTGGATCCGCCCCTGATAATTACTTCTCTTCTGTACAAAAGGCATGATTGCGGAATTTTGCAGCAACTGATTTTGCGCTGGAAATGGATTTTTGCTTCAGTGCAGAAAGTTTAGTCAAACTACGGTCTTTGGAGAGCTCAAAAAGTTGACCTAAAAAAATGTCGGCAAAACTTTCAAATTTTTTTTTGAAAATCCGCACTCCTCCCTCCCCTCCCCTCCCCGAGAAATCCCTGGATCCGCGCTTGATAATAACTTCTCTTCTGTTCAAAGGACATGATTGCAGAGTTTTGTAGCAACTTATTTTGGGCTGGAATTGGAATTTTGCTTTGGTGATATGTTACAATAGGTAGTAATTTTGATTTTCAATCAATTATAATAGTACTACCAAGATAGTTTTTGAAAATACAATCTTCTGCCATATGAAATGCTATTAATTCTTTTGTTAATTTGTTAATTCTGTTATTTTCCCATAACATAATCTTCATTGAAAATGGCCTGACTGATGAGTTAAAGTTTTGTGACATGGAGATGAGCGCTGAGAATCGTGCTCATTTTCTCATTATGTTCCTGCGTGGTCATGATCAGGGGCGGATTGCGGGGAGGGGGGGGGGGGGAGGTTTGCCTTCCTTTGGGGATGAATTCGACCCCCTGACGACCCAAAAGATCCCCCCTTTGCTACTTTTTTTATGAAATCCATTTTTGGCTGACCGGCCTTAAAATTGTTCCAACGGCGTATCTGGCGCCAATATATACTAATTTTGAGGGGAAGCGCGCGCCAAAAACGCATTTTGTGGTCAAAATTTTCCAAGAAGTGCCTAAAAAGGACGTTTTTTTGTTCAAAAATTTGACCGGGACGCAAAACGTTTTGTCGATATGCGGTCTTCATTATAATCTGGATTGCTCGAGAAATCAACTTGGTCAACCTATAAAAAGTTAGAAAAAAATCAAAAGTTTTTTGAAAATCCAAACTTTTTCTCTCTTGCAGCAGCATGTGTATTGTACTGCTGCGGCATTATTGTCAATAACCCAATTAACTTGTCAATAACGAATCATTTATATTTCGGCGGATTTTAGAGATTTTTGTTGTTGACTGGAAAAACTTTCGCTTTTCTTCTTATTTACTTTGCGCACTTTTCCTGAATCTAAACGGCAGTGGCCGTCAAAAACGAATCATTTATTTTTCGGCGGATTTTAGAGGTTTTTTGTTGTTGACTGGACAAATTTTCGCTTTTCCCCTGTTTACTTTGCGCACTGCCCCTGAATCTAAACGACCGTGGCGTCGCAATTGAAACAAGACTGATCGTATCAGCGCGAAGCCTTGAACGTTCCGACTGTATTTTGAGGTATATCGAAGAGTATTTGCTTATAAAAATGGGAGACATTAAATTTTTTAAAAAAAATTACGCAGAACTGTACGCAGATTTCCCAACCAATGGTCCTTTTTTTTGTTCTTTCGTTTTATATCGTTCCGACCACATTTAAACACGTGACTTACAAACACCAAACTGTGCGCCCATCCAGTGCACAGTTTGGCCTCGTTTTGAATTAAAACCGCACACACGCTATTAAAACATTTTAATTTGTTTTGTTTTTGATGAAAGTGAGGAATAAATATGCTAGAGAAATATTTATTACTTAGCTCAATTTCAAAAAACTCTTTGCTCGATCCTTTCAACTACGTTCGCCCAGCCGGATAAGCACACGAGTATAATAGCCTAAAAATCTTGTATTATATTTAACACGTTGCAAGTTGTACCGCACTACAAAATCGTGTTAAAGTGAAAGGAGGCAGCTAAATTGTCTTTTTCAGTCTAATAAGATTCAAATTTTAACACTTCAAACGGGATTTTATCTGCTTAAAACTCATAATTTTGCCAGTTTTGATTTATCAAAAATCATTCAAAACCAATTGAAGGGCAGTCGGAACATTCGGGGCTTCCCCCTGATACGAGCAGTCTTTTTGTTCCGACTTTCAAAAAAAGTAACGATTATATAAAATAGGGGTGACTTTTTTTATTCAAACCAATTCTCAAAAAAATTCTCTAATTTGAATTGAGGCAAGCTAATTGGTCGTTTTAATTTCATACAAAACTTTTAGTTTTATCAGCCTAAAACTAAAAGCTTGTCAGAATTTCTCATTATCAAAAACATTGAAAACCAATTTAGTTGACAGTCGGAACAATCATGGCTGAGCCCTGATACGAGCAGTCTTTAGAAAAAATTTAAGAAGGACAAATAGCTCGCCTTACTTCAACTTAAACAAGTCCTAGGACGGATTAAGTATCCGCTTACGCGCTGAAAACACGAAATATTTCGAGCGTTAATTGTCCCAAGTTGGCAATTTTTCAACACTGCTTAAAATTCACAAAAATGGTCACAGATGAAATAAATTTGTTAAATTTTATGCTCAAGACAACTTTACCTTTCGAATGATATTTTAAAAACTCCGCCAAAAATTGCTAGTTAAAAAGCGAATTTTGCCAAGAGAAAAAAACCACCCCTAGCACAGATATTCCGTTTTTTTATTCAATTGGTTTTCTGTGATCGAAAAAAAAATGAATTCAAAAAAATAAGCCTCCTTGAAGAAATCAATTCTTTGAAATCAAAATGAAAAAATTTTCAGCCTCCAATAATTTTTTGCAATTTTTTTGGAGTCTGAAAATTGCCAAATTGACCATGTTTTAGCTTAATTTATGTGCACTTTGAAGATTTTATTCATAATACTGAAAGCGTAGCGCGAAATATTTTTGAGTGGTGAGTCATCACGCACAACAAATTTGTTTCGAGAGGAATGGAGGCTAGCTACTAGGTCTTTTTTTTTCGTACGACTCGAGAGTTCTCACTTGATCGTTTCAAAAAAATGGAAATATAACTAATTTTTTCTGAAAATTATCCTCCCTCACATGCTATTTCAAGTTAAAAGTGATTTACTGAATAATCAGAAACATACAGTGTTGATATAAACTGTCTGGAAATCACGAATCAAACTTAAAAGATAAAACAAGATGTTCTAAAACTGAGTTTATTTCAGTTGAAAACACAGCAGATACTATAAAAAAATTTGTTTTGCAAAATTTTGGCCCATGATTTTGCTCTTAGACAATCATTTCTGAAAAATTAATCCATCAAAAATAACGCCAAAATTATCAGATCAATTGCCGGAAAAAATACATCAAAGTGAGCCTCTTAACAAGTCCCATTCAAAAAAGAAGAGTATTATCGTCTGAATTTTGTAAAAATACTTTTGTTTTAATAATGAAGGCCATAAATGGCATTTATACTACATGAAATTTCAATTTTCAGTTTGAAAACAATTTCAAACAATTTGTTCAACATTTATATTTATCTTATGCCTTTGTTGGGTTGCATAACAAGCCCAATTTGATATACTTTTGCCTGTATTTGATCTGGTAGTATTGACGTAAATTTTGATAACTAAAAAAAACCCGAAAGTTATCGGTTTAAGTGTAAAACTTTGGGCTCTATTTTCTACAAAAAAAATGAAAAATATTAACTCTATTAAAATACAAAGTAAGTTTTATCTCCATCAGTTTTCGACTTCGTCAATCCAAGTAAAAAAAATGCGTTTTATAGTTCAAATTTTGTTTGTTTTGTCTGGATATTTTAATATATTAAATTAAAATATATAAAATGCCTCAATTCTATTTGGCGCAATTTTTAAGTCGGATTAAAAAGCCGTTTACGCGTTAATAGGAGAAAATTTATCGTTAATTGTCCAAAATTGGCAAAACTAGCAATGCTTAAGCAACCATAACTCTACGAAAAATGATCACAGATGAAATTTGAGCTCAGGACAACAATACCTTTCAGATGATCTAAGAAATTCCGCCACAAATGACTAGTTAAAAAGTCGAAATTGGTCTGGAGAAAAAAATTACCCCGTCTCAAATAGTCGGAACAGTTATAAGTAGTAATTCAATTAAAATTATTATAAACAAACTTATGCAGACTGTTTTTCGAAAGCACACAACCGACTGTGTTCTTTTTTTTGTTTCGACTCTCGAAGAAAAGGGAATATTTATGCTCGGTATGGGTTTTTTTATTCACTCAATTTTCGCACATCGAAAAAATAGTTTTGACAAATATCCCATTGAAGATATTGACTTTATAGTTCAAATTTAAAAAGATATTTTACCTCCGATTGTTTGTTGTAAAGTTCTGGGGGTTTGAAAATCGCCAAATTGGCTATGTTCTGGACTAAATTATGCGCGCTTTGAAGAACTTAACCCTTTTGCTGAGAGCTTAACGCGAAATATTTATGCGTGAAGAATTATCCCGCACAAAAAAAATGTTCCAAATTGAATTGAGGCTAGCTTATCAGATCTGTTGTAATAATTTCGTACGACTCAACATTTCACACTTTGATGTTGTCCAAAAATTTTAGGTTTCAATATTTTTTCCCAAAACTATTCGATATGGATTAAGGGGCAGTCGGAACACTCAGGGCTTTGCCCTGATACGAGCAGTCTTGTTTTAATACCAAAACGTTGTTCGGATCTTCCCGTGCTACTTGCACATCAACCGATTACTCTTGCGTGCACATGTAAATTAATTCGCCTGAATTTTAGTAGCGCTCATTTTTTGTAAGCCTCAAATTTTTTCAGCGGCAGAGTTTATTGAACAAGGCCGCAGATAAAATTTTAACAGGGGATAATCATTTCTCACGGAAAGAAAAAAGAAAAAAGTCTATATGTTTCAAATGCCACTACCTCTGAAGTTTTTATTGTAAGTAATATTATATATTTATCTTAAATAATAAGATCATGCTTGTGGTTGATATATGCATAGTCTTTTTACTTTGATAAAACTAGCACCAACACAACGAAAAGAATGCATATTTAAAAAATCTCTTTGCTTTTCAAGTATAAGTCTTTCAAATAGCGTGCTTCGTTAAAAAGACTGCTATTCAATAATTTCATTCATTATATTACATCTTCTCAAAACAAGCCATTATAGCTCGTACTTAAAATTGAAATCTGCAGATAAATGGTTCGATAGTTTTTAATTTATCAATCTAAGTTGGGAATATGGATGGCGAAAGCGTTGAGTTTGACTTCGAGGAAAACTTGGACCAGTTTTACCCGGGGCTAAGAAAGCCAGACGAGTACGAAGATTATCTGGACGAAAAAGGTAAAGCAGTCGTTTTCAGTCCTTCCATTGGATTCCAATCTCGATATGGAAAACTGGTGTCACGTGACTGGCGGGGCAAAAAATGCCAGTTTTTCAAAAACAGTGACGCTCGAGTAGCTCATACCATTAAGTTTAGTGATGCTACATATCGTAGTATGGACACACTTTTGAACGATTTGAGTGAAAAAATGAACATTCCTTTCGGCGTAAGATCAATTCACACTCCCAAAACGGGTTCCGAGATTAATTCAATTGACGAGTTGCAACATGGACGAGCTTATGTGTGTCGAGAGTTCAACAAGCCGCGCCCTTTGAACTTGCAGCGGGTTTGGGAGAATGGGAAATGGACAAATAGGAAGCCTCTGACGTCACAGGAGAACTTTAGTAAGCGGCTGACTGGACAGTACCTGGACAGTTGGTGGCATGAGCACCAGAAGAAGTCAGGGCGGGGATCGTCTGAGAGTAGACAGATGGGATTCAAGCCTAGGTCACCCAAGGACGAAGAGGTGAGATTATTAGAAGGCTCATTCATTGCGTCTGGTGACTAAACAGTCCTGTTCATACAGTTAACCTTAGTTAACAAAAGACTCTAACAGAAAAAACTGAGATATCGAAAAAATTTCTATTTATTAAAAGCCAAAATTACATAGATTTTTGGAAGCTCGAAACCAGTAGCTAATTTAGGGCGCGCGAGAGGGATTTGGATGCCCTTAGGCGCCAACGATAAATTGAACAAAAAGTTGAAAATCGAAAACTTTTTTTGGTCGGGTCTATGGCACAGGGCAAGTGTTGGCCTAGTTTTGACTGACTTAACGTTTTTCGGAAAGCCCCAGGAGTTTGATTCAAACTGTGGTTGAAAACTATTATTGTTTTAGTGACTTTACAAATTATTATTGTTACCATAAATCCTATTTCAGCTGTATGCTCAAACGGTAAAGACAATTTCTTCAAATGACCGATAGGGTCACCATTTGCTATTTTCTCCAAAATTCGATGTTGTTACTTTCCTTTCCTAACCTTTAAACCGTAATTTTTCATGTAACTCGCCCGAATTTAGGCATGCGTTCCTAATATAAAGGACCCAAAACTTTCACTATAACCCGTTGCGAGAATTGCGAGAAACTGTATTCGGTTCATGAGCTGTTCTTTTTATCATTGGAACTTTCTTTCAACATGGATTTGTGAAATAATGTTAAGAAATGTTGTCCATTTTCAAACGGCAGATTTTTCCAGGAAATGTTGGAGCGTACGCCAAAGAAGATCACGGTGTACAGGAACGGGTGTTGGCTGCATCGTCATCTGGTGCTGCTGAACAAGCGCCTCAAGTTCCGACCAGCCGAGGAGTTCTTCGAGGCACTTCTGCAGGATGTGGGGGAGATGTTCAAGATGAAGTTTACAAAACTGTTGGCAGCTGATGATTACAGAGAGGTGAAAATCATGACATTTTTTTTTGTTGAGATTTTTGAAAGCTTTTCTCATCAATCAGCTGAAAATTTCAGCGGCAGAAATAGTTCCAAAAAATTTTATCAATTCTCAACTGTAATTCTACAAAGTTTGTTAAGAACGCCCAGCTAAAATGAAATATGAAAAACTGACTAATTACGCTATTCCAAAAAAATTTTGGTCTCAATTCGGTATTTTGTAAAACCTTTATGCTTATTTGAGTTCGGGTGCGATGAGGGGAATTGGATGCAAAAACTCTTTGAAAAAATTTGAACTCGATTTGAAAAATTTGTTCTTAGCACCCAGCTCATGATTAGATTTTCAGAGCTGGAGATTTACATTTGTTTTGTGCATTTATCAGTGAGTGTTTCGTGAATCATCACTATGGGCAACTTTTCAAACCAGTGTTTCAGCCAACGTGAAATACGTTTTCGTTCAGGTTAAGAGTGTGAAGGAAGTGTTGGAAGGTCCCGACGTGTTCATAGCCCTGCAGTACAATGAGGACTTGATTAAGCCTCCCGGGATGCTGGAGCCAATAGGGAGGATGATACATAAAGGCAACACCATTGACCCTGCCATGGCCGACAAGTCGGGAGTGGTACGCAAGGGAAAGTCACGTGAGTTTAGCCGAACAATCACGACCTAAGCAAGCAGTTGGCTCGTCTATAAAATTTAAATTGTTTCACATCTTTTCAGCACGCATCGCCGGTTTTTGAAATTCAGTAGAATGTTTTTTTTTTATATTTAGATATCAAAAAATGTTGTTTTTTTTTTCAAATCGTATAATCTATCAAGGACACATCGATTCGACGCGACAATGAGTGAGAATTTTATTACTTATTAGTTCTAAAAAGTGAACAAGTCTGAAGGAACACAATATTTCAGAGGGCAAGTGGAAACTTAAAGTGATCACGAGTGACGAGGAGGGTGCCGGTACCACCTCTAATCTGACCCTGTGGGTGTATGGGGAGAAGAGGGACTCTGGACCCCTTCCTCTGCCCAGAAAAGGGGAGGACCACGAGTCATTCAGTGCCGGATCAGTCGAGGAATTCGATGTAAGAGTCATCTTTACTCCAACATAATACAGAAGTACTAATATTATTATACAAATAAAAACTAACATGAAGTTAAATAATTAATACTTTATTTCATGAATTTTTTGTTGCAATTTTTTATTTTTTAGTAAATATATGCCAGCGGAGTTTAAAACTCTAATTCGGAGTTATATTATTATCAATTAGACAAATAGACAGGGCTGGTCAAAATATGTTTTTTTTTAAAAAAAAACGTTTAAAACTGTTTTAAACGTTTTAAACAGTTTAAAACATGTTTTTTTGCAAGAATTTATTTTTTCAAGCAACGCATACAAAATGCTAGTTTCTCAGTTTTCTCTGAGGAAAGGCTGTTCCTGAGGTCCCCTTCCACATACCCCATTGTGCTGAACGCACGCTCAATGCCTGCAGAGCTCGGGGCTAAAGACATCAGTTTGAGTGACAAACGACTCAATTCGTCACTAATGACCCCCAACGCCGTCTGCGCGCGAATGAAGCTTTTAGCCTTGCAGTTGGGCGTTTTTGCAAACTCGTCGCGCAAAGTTGCTCTTGAATCGCCGAGAAAAGTCAAGTAGTCGCCTTTCACAGTAGGGTACTCTGCATCAATCCATTCGAGTGCCTTTTTCATCTCAGACGCTGTGAGGTCCTCGCCAGTATACCGCGGATGCAGAACGTGAGCTGCGAACCAGGATGCAGGCACAGAATTGTTGTACCGTTTTTCGGCATATTGGAGCCACTCTCGGCATTCAGGGCCAATTTCTCTATACGTGTTCAAGACTTTCTTCCATGCCATTACACCATCAGCAACTGTTGCCCAGTCACTTTGTACTGTATCTAGAGCAGTTGCAATGTGTGTTTTTCAACAATTCGCCCCCTATGACTTTCCTGGTAGGAGGTTTGTAGCCAGGATGTAGCAGGTCGATGAGCGCCTGAAAATTACATTTTTAAGACAAAAGTGATACACCGATTTTTTGTGAATAAAGTGAATAACAAATTTTACCTTGAACTGTTCAGATTCTGCAGCAACGAAAGGGATATTGCACGCGTAAAAGAACTTCGCAACAGCTTTGTCAAAAGACGCTTTTTGATTCGCTGATGTCGTAACAACAAAAGTGTCCATAACCGGCTGTTTCGGAAGCCTGACCCCCGCGTTTGTCGAAGTTTGCCCGTTTTCATGAGACGCATAATGTTTTTTCATCCTGTCGACTAACGGCACCATCTCAGTTGTACAAGTTTTGCACTTGGCTCTTCCATTTGGCAATTGCTCAAACTTCTCCCAAACATGATCGCGTTTACGGCCAGTACTCAATCGGCTCATGTTTTAATCTGAAAAATCCATTCGTTGAAAATTAATGGTTTTGATAAGTAATCTCTGATTAAAAGCTGTATAATGTCAGCAAAACTTGCATGGCAAATGCGCACTTGATAGCTTGTTGAAAGAACTGCACTGTACGTGTTAATTTGGATGAATCAAGTAACAGCTGCCAGTTAAATTGCGTAATAATTGCGCCCTCGCAGTCGAAACATGAAACACTGTTTAAAACACTAAAATTGAGTCATGTTTTAAACAGTGTTTAAAACAGTTTTAAACACTGTTTAAAACAACCCCTGTTTTTTATTGACCAGCCCTGCAAATAGACAATTAAAAGAATTGGACTTGATATTATTGTTGAGTGTTGTGTTATCGTGCAGATCAAGGCTGGCAAACTGGGTGCGATCTACAAGATCCGACTGGAGAGTGACTACACTGGCCGCAGTCCAGACTGGAAGTGTGTGGAGGTGCAGATGACAGACATCAACACTGAGAGGAGTCTCCTGTTCCCAGTGGACAGGTGGTTCTCCCAGTCCAAGGAGGACGGAAGTACTTCCAGAGAAGTGGCTATGGCTAAGAAGTCAGGGGATCCCATGTACCCTAGTGAGATTTCACTTTTCCATCTTTGCAAAAACATAGTAAATAACAGTAATTTTCTGTCTAATAATTAAAGCAACTGACTATAATCCGGCAGTTTAGTAAACTGCTAAAAACTCGAACTCCAAACCGATGAGAATAAAAATAGTTTTAAATTAAAACCCTTATTAGTGACTGAAGAAGGAAAACTTTACTAAAATTTGGACTGTTCGATTTTTCCCCTTTCTAAATTTTTCCCCAAGGAAAACTTTTCCCCTTTCTAAATTTTCTGTTTGGCCTTCAGCGGTGACATACGAGGTGCTAATTGCGACTGGAGATAGATGGGGGGCAGGGACAGATGCAGAGCCCTTCATCACCCTCTTTGGGGAAAGAGGGGACAGCGGGGAGAGGAAACTAATAAGAGAGCAGGCCAAATTGAAGCAGGCATTCGGAACCAGGGCCCAATACAAGCCATTCAAGAAACACCAGGTTCCGCGACACTCCTTTTTTCTTTTACAATTTTAATTAGTTTTCGCAAAAACGTATAAACTAATGGTCAAACTTCAAAAAATTAACAAGTATTCGTTTCAATTAGACTTCAAACTGCGTTAACAGAAAAAGACTAAAGAGTTAAAATTTTGGAGAGATTTTTCAATAAAAAAGCAAAAAAAAAACAGCCCGATTTTAATCATTTCTGAAGTAAATAGGGCGGAAGTTTAACGGACCAGACCGACCGATGGGTGAAACGTTCAATTGAACGAACAAAGTTTGATATTTGTACTGCTTTTTGTCCAGATCGATGCCTTCACCATTGACGCCGTATCTTTGGGAAGATTGAAGAAGATCAAAATTGGGCACGACAGGAGCAAAGCCGGTAAAAATACCTTTTTATACAACTAATTACGCTTATGTTTTGACCAAAAAGCAAATTCTCTCATCTGATGTATGTCAAATAGGGTTGTTTTGAGACTGTGATTTGATGAGATAGCCAATTTATGCTTATTTGCAACAAACTGTGAAATCTGATATTACGTGACATAATCTTGCAAATGAGTGACTGGAACCTTCATTTCAGGAGAGGGTTGGTTCCTGGAGAAGATAGCCATCAATGTGAGTGATCCCCGGGACGGCGGAGGAGAGACCAAGGTATTCAACTTCCCCTGTGGCAGGTGGCTGGACAGTGGGCAGGACGACGGAAAGATAGCCAGGGAGATCATGGCCAGCGAACAGCAGACCGGCATAGATGCGCAGAAGGAAATTGTAAGAAGGGTGAAACAATCAATATGCTATCCCGAATCGCGGTACTATTCTCAATTTCTGTTTCATTTGGGTGGTTTGGCACTATCACCAACAAACTACTCCGCTTTATCCCCTTTTAGTAGTTTTAGAGGGATTACAGCAACATCTGGGGTGTTCTGTCCGGGTGCTCTCTCTTACACGATAAATTATTCGTTTGAAATTGTCATTCCACAAAATCTTTGCGTTTCAAAAAAAAACTAGCAATAAGCTTTTTGAAGCAGTTGCTATTTGGCTGAAAACTTTTCTGAACTCTGAGTTTTCATAGAAGCCTCAATTATATCTTCTTGAGCTATGCTTGTGTTCGATCAGCTCGAGTGATGCTTTACTCGTTTAGTGGGAGATTGAGCAGTGGAAGTACGAGAGGGGCAACGAGCTGGTGTTTGTGAGTGAGGCGAGTGGCAAGTGTCTCCTCATCAAGGGCGACGCCACCTTCCACGCTAGGGGTCACCCACAGGACCCATTCAGTCAGTATCCTCTCCTCCCCACTATATACTTGAAGTGCACTGATTTCATAAAAGGGTATCCCTTTCAGAGATCCAATTTAGCTTAACAACGGCATGTTTGACCTCTTGAGATGGACCCAAGAGGTACTTATCTCTTCGAGTAATTTCTGTTACAACTTACGTCTGCCTCGTTTGCCGATTTTGGTTTAAAGTGTGGCGTAATTTTGCAGACCTATTGGCCGTGATTTAGTTTCCGCAAAAAAATCTAAGAAGTTCTCTCATTGCCGAAAAAGACAGGTCTCAACTTTTCCGTTTTTCAGACTGCACTTCCAATCTAATTACGAATTTCGAACTCTTTCAGCTGTTATTGTCTATTTTCAAAGCTTATGAACCAACTCAGTCTCCTTTCACTGTCTCCCTAGCTAAAAAAACGAAAGGTTGAAAATAGATCAATCTTGAAATTTGGAAAAAAAAAAATTTTATTTTGAAGGTTCAGCGCAACCAGCGTGATCGGAACATTCTGAGCTACTTTCACAGCAGCCGGGTATGCTTGTTTCAACTTAATAATAGCTTGTCACTGTCATCAGGTGTGATGGTGGTGAAGGCGAAGATGCAGAATGGAGTGCGCATCATTAGGTCCGGACTTCACTCTGGATACCATCTGGGCATAGACAAGGGCAAACTGTACGCAGAGGTGAGTACAGTTTGGGTTTAGTCTTGTCGCTGGTTAAAAACACGACCTGATTAAGAAGTGGGTGCATTGTACGTCCCTTTTGTAATTCTTTGGTCCTGTCTAGCACGATAGTATCCCTCCCAAGACGCATATAACCAACTCTTCAAATAGTTCAATTGATGCCTACCCGCAAAAACAAAGCATAACGCAAGAATTAAACCTAAATTTTTTTTGTGTCCAAAAAATTGCCATTTCAATCAGTTCGTTTTTTTGCTCAAAAACCGTTCATTTTTAAATTTGAGTTTAATCGGTTAAAAACAAAGCTCAAACCGTTCGAAAATGGTTTCAATAATCGCGACTTGGGTTTCTTCTTTGTAATTACTCTTTTATTCTCTTCGTCTGCTATAGATGAAGGGTGGGGTGCACTGTGAGTGGAAGGTGTTGCAGCAAAAGGACAGGGCAGTGTGTCTGCAGAGTGTGCGCAACCCCTCCCATTATGTCTCCTTCGACCAGCAGGGAAACGCCTCCCTAGCAGACTCCAATGTCAAGAGCCAACTCACGTTCAGAGTCTACTGCAGGGTGAGTGACATATGCACTTTTGACTGACTCAGAGATTAACTATGGTTGAAGGAGCCATTTCATAAGGAACGTTTTCCATATATCGTGGCTGTTAAGTTAGCAGGGGATCTTGTCGCATGGGGTATCTTTTGGCATCGGATACTTTTGCGTTATTAGAATCTTTTGGAAACACTATTGATTCATGAGATCCTGATAGCATGAAAGATTGACAAAAATCAAAAAAAGTACCCAAAAACTTATAGAAGAAAATTTCTCATCGCCCAATTGAATGTGAGCAACAAATTTTTTGTCCAAATTTAATTCTCAGTTTAGGTAATCAAACAGAAAAACAGATTCATTAATAAACGAAATTATACGCTATTTGGTCTACTTTCAGGGCGCATTCCGCCACCAAGGTGTGATCGTGGTCCAGACCAGTGCGACTCAGACCCTCTTCATAGACGAGGACCGCAAAGTGGTGGGCTATGGAGTGAGGGATGTGAGTGCTTACTTCCGGGTCCACAAAGTGCAGAAGGGAGTGCGCATGCTCCAGTCCATAGCCAGACCTGACTGCTTCATCCAGATGAGGGACGGGGTAGTGGATGGAAATGTGAGTAGAAACTTACAAGGGCTCGCTTTCCAAAATTCCACCTTCTGTATATAACCAACCAGCCATTTTTGAGATTTTGAGATGCATCCATGCGGTTTCCCTTGAAGATCTTTTTGATAATTATATTTCTGGAATTTAAGTTCAAAAATTCTTTGAGTCACATGTGTCAAAATTTCTTACTCGCATCGTAGAGGAATTTCGCTTTTCATAAAGAGAACATGGGCGGATCGGGGATGTGTTTGGCGACGATTTTTATTCAAAAAATTTAACAAACTTTTTTTGTGAACCATTGGGTGTGATTGAATATGAGATATCGGATGCTTTGATATTCACCCAAAGTCTGTTTCGTCCATAATAAGTAAGCATTACAAAAATAATCAGAGCTTCTCTTAAGCGTTAGGTAAGTATACCAAATTTTTTCTGAAACTATTCGCAGTGGTCGACTATATTTTACGTGATAATGCTCATTTGCTTTTTCATAAATTAGGGTGTGGGAGACGAAGCATGTCACTTCTTCGTGGAGCGCAACCGTTATGAGGGGGGTTCGTTCCGTTTGCTACATGTAGGGGAGAACAAGTACCTGGGACTGACTCCAGAGGGCGATGGAATGTCAGCAAGTGAAGAGGACGTCGAGGACCTAGTCTTCTATCCCGAAGTCATCGAGTGTAAGAAGAAACATTAGCAAAAAAGATCAAGCTTGAAAGATTGAACACACAAAATATACATTTCCATTTATAGAATTTGTAAACTTTCTAGATATTTATCTTTGCCCAAAGCTAATTAGCTAACAAGACTGCTCGTATATCAGGGCAAAGCCCTGAATGTTCTGACTGTCCCTGAATAGTTTTTGGGAAAAGAAATTAATGAAAACGTATACATTTTAGACAATATCAAAGTGTAAAATTATGAGTCGTATGAAATTAATACGACCAATCTGATTAGCTAGCCTCAATTCAGTTTGGAAGATTTTGTTGCGCGGGTTAATTCGTCACGCATAAATTATTCGGGTTACGCTCTCAGCATTACAAAAAAAACTCTTCAAAGCGCGCATAACTTAGTCGAGAACATCGCAAATTTGGCAATTTTCAAACCCCCAGAACTTTACAAAAAATAATTGGGATCTTGTTAACTATTTCCCCACCCCTATTTCGATTTTCAAAAATTCAACTTTTGCTGCCACATTTTCAATTGCTTAACAATTTTCAGAAAAAGTATGTAGTTGAAATTTTACGTGGGGTATTATATAAATAGTGAGTAATACAAATACAAACGCGCGAAAATGAAAACCCACTTAATTGTTGACATTTTTGAAATGCATATTTTATACAGAAAAAATGGTTGTCAAAAATAATACATGCATAGGAGGGGGGGGGGGGGGGGGGGATAGTTAACAAGCTCTAAAGGGGGGGGGGGGATTATTAACAAGATCCATTAATTGGAGGTGAAATATCTTCTTACATTTGAACGCAGGAAGTCGATATCTTCAATGGGGTATAAAAAATTTTTGTTGAAAATTAGTATTTCGATCGGTGAAAATTGACTGAATAAAAAAAACCACACAGAGCATGGGGCTAGGTTTTTACCAGACCGACCTTTTACCAGGCCGACCTTTTACCGGGCCACAATGCAATAGTTAAATTATGATAAGTTTCAATTAGTAGAAGATACGAAAAGGAAGCGATTAGAACCAACAAAACTTCGCTGAGAAACCGCGAAATCATTGTCTTAAACCAGACTAAAACGGCGTCATCACATCTGTCAATGAAATTTGTTTATCGAGTCCAGGTTACAGTTTTCCTGGTAAAAGGTCGGTCTGGTAAAATGTCGGTCCCCACCGAGCATAAATATTCCGTTTTCTTCGAAAGTCGGAACAATTGGAGGCACTACAGCAGTTATGTGCTAAGAGCTGAACAGCTCTTATGTTTGTCGTTTCCCTTGCGGATTAGTTTGTCTTAAAGCGGTGCATTCTCGGTTAAGCTCAAATTGTGCCTAATTCAGAGCACTCGTGCTATTTCATGAAAATTCTTCTAAAGACAGTTTTTATAAAGAAATATCGGCTCTTTTCCAGTTTTCCCCCTCCTTTAATTTTTTCTGAAATTCATTATATGAAAGTCTATTTAAAATGATTTTTCATGTTAGAAACTGCAATAAAACGTGTCAGCATGAACAGGTGAACAAACTTCTGCAGCATTTCTTACATGCAAATTGCCGTGTGAACAATTTTTGAACATCTTTGTTTTGTAATTTAACAAGGGGGGGGGGGTGGGAAATTGGAAAAGAGCCGAAATATCTCACTCAACTTTCTCAAAAAACTTGCTTCTTTATTTAGCTATTTTTGTGTAGACGGTGTGCCAAAAAAGAAGCGCCCTGATTTCCGGTCATCAACTACTACTACGCCAAGGATCCTTCACATCGACACCGAAAGATCAAGGGAGGGTGGCGGAGGTACAACGCGCCGGTCTAACTCTCAATCATACAACCAAAACAAATCCAGTAGCCGAATGCCAACTCAGCCGAAAACGAGTAATAGACGACCGAGTGATGCCCGATCACCAAAGAGCCGAACTGATCCCAAGTCTCCTAATTTGGAAATGCAGCCCGAAGACGACCGAGAGGAAGAACCTTTAAGTCCTGGAGCTGGAGGTCAACGAACTTTAAGATCAGATCGAACCGAGGACCCGAAATCGCCAGGCGCTCAGAGAAGTCAACAAAGGACAACCAGATCACCAGCAAGAAGCCCAGGAACATACCCAGCTAGTAGTTCTAAAACACCGGGTGTCAACTAAAAAACAAGATATGCGAGAAACAACATTGTCTAATGAAATTATCAGTCAAAATTACATTTTTAAAAAGAATATGTCAAAGAATTAACTGGCCTAATGTTATAAAAAATAATTCAAAGCTTTGCTGACTTTTAAACGTTCTACCATTTTTTGTTCGAGAAGGGAAGAGGGGAGAGAAAATACGCTTGTGAAAATAAGCTTGTAGACAAAATAATGATTTATGAACTTAAATTAGCAAAATTTTCACCGCTTTCACTAGCTTAAAATCAAAACAAGACTGCTCGTTCCGACTGCCTTTTAAGATTTATGGAGCAGTAATAACATTAAAAAAATTAATTTAATAAAATAAAATGAAACACTTTTTTTTCTAAAATTTGAAATTTTTTCTGAAAATCATCCCCCCACACACCATATAAAATATAAAAGGATATATTTCGCTCCTTGTAATAAATCAATTATGGCAAATAAGCTTCTTTCAACCAATTTGGAATGATTTCTAAGACGGGTTAAATCTCCGCTTACGCATTAATAGCGCGAAATATATCGCGCTTTAATTGTCCAAAATTGGCCAAAATGGCAATCTTTAAACCCCCATAACTTTACGGAAAACAGTCACAGGTAATATCGTTTCAAATTCAAGCTCAGGTCAACAATACTTTTTGAATGATATAAAAAAAATTCCGTCAAAAATGGCTAGTTAAAAGTCGAAATTTGTCTGAAGAAAAAAACCCACCCCGAGCACAAATATTCCGTTACTTTTGTATCAAAAGTTGAAACAAAAAAGCCTATTCAAAATGGCAAAAAGTATATTTAATGTTTCTCGATACCAAACGAAGTTTTTCGAACCTTTCTAAGATCGGATGAATTACAACTGTGACGGCTTGAATAGGAAAATCACGATCTGTCTATATCAAAAGCTATTGAATAGGAAAATCACGATCTGACTATATCAAAAGCTATATCAAAAGCTGTTCTTCGTAAACAAAAGCAATCAGGGGCTCCGCAAAATTGATTGCTGTAGTATTGCAACTGAAAATCAATTACTGTGTAGTTTTTCTGGCTGCAATTAATTATTGCAATTATCTTAAGTAGAAAATCAATTACTGTGATAGTTTTTAATTCCCAAAAATTATGAAATCATTGCAAAATTGTACAAAACAAATCATTTTTGAAACTAGCTCCCTGTTTTTGCAAAAATTTTTCTGCAAATGAGATTTCGGAGGTAGTTGGTTCCATTGGTGTTATTTTTTTGAACACTTTGATGGCATCTCGTTCTTTGGGCGTAAGGTCGGTAACATTCTGGCCTATATTTGGATTATAATTGCTGAATATTTTGTTGCCGCAATAAAATATTGCAAATATAATGTTCAAAATCAATTATTTTAATTTTTGAGAAACAAAAATTGATAATTATTGCAATTTAAAATCAATTTAAAATTATTCTTATGGAGCCCCGCAAGCAATAAGCATTGAGAAGAGCTCTCAAAATTAGGCAACAGAGGCGAAGTAAGACTTCGCACTATTTGCAATACAACACACAAGTAGTATAGCAAACTAACCGACAGACAGTGAAGCAAAAGAAGTTTCTTGAAAATAACAAAAAAAGACAATCGAAGGCTAAATGGCTAATTGAGCATCAAAACAAATCTTACAAAGCGGTAACAAAGCAAGAAAAAACCTGTTCAGACAAACTATTTTTTTTAAATATATTTAGATAATAACTTTTTTTGCTTCCCGGGTTGACCAAAAATTGGTACCCTAACACTTTTTAAACAAACTTACAACTCTTAAAAAATTAGGCTCTAAGAATGAGATTTCGCTAAGTGGGAAAAACTGAATTCGCTAAGCTGATATAATATAACCCGAAATCTTTTAAACCGAAAAAAAAATAGAAAAAAAACTAATATGGTAAAATCTGAGTTCGTAAATTTAGAACCAACATAAAAACCTCAAGCCTAAGATTTGTCAGTTAGTTGACGCAAATACAGATTAGAAGATGACCACCAGGTGATTTACGGTAGGGGGGTCTAGTACTCGGTTGCAACACCCTTGCTTATCGCGCGACTAATTTGTAAATCACGCTACCAATTGGAGACCTGGTTCATTTCTGTAAAACATTCCTTTATACCAGCAGTACTGGATGCGCTTTGACATATATTAGATCATGATTTTCATGCAACTCAGATTCATGTTTATAATGCATTTCCAAACTGGGTCAAAAAATTAATTGGCACCATTATAGTTGTCGGATCCTGGAAATATTTTTGTTTACAGGATCCTCCAATTTTAATTGATCTTCCAATCTGTACTTTATATCAATAGACATAGTAGAGCTTGATTTTCATATTCTCGTTATATTCGACTTGTCCTACATTGGTTTAATTTTTAATTTTCCTTTTTTACTTAATCGGCTTCAAAAGTTTCGGCTGATATCTTAACGTTTTGTGGCCTCATATTGCGTGAATTCTTTTCTTTGATGCATTTCTGTTTTGAGGGAGGGGATTTATTTTTTTTGTTTCGCTGAATTTCAAGTATTTTAATGACACTTTTTTTCGACTTAATGCAAGTATGCTCAAGTATTGTCGGCTAATGTCCGCTTCGTTAATCTTAAGATGCTTATTTAACATTCAGTTGTCCCCATTGACATATTTCTTTCACAATAAACCTTAATCATCCTTCAGGTGTGCTTTAGTTTTCTTTTCTCACATTTTTCCATTCAAAATCAGTTACTACAGTGCTGATTTAAATTAACCGGACAAAACGCGTTAAACTTGAAATTTAAAACGCGTTTTTCTCAAATTGGGTTGAGTTTAGGAGAAAACTCATGAAGACAAAACATGCTTAAAATTTTAGCAGAATTAATATGGTGTAATTTGTTTTGCAAAATTCGGGTCCGAAACTTTACTCCAAAAATGGGTCATTTTGGCTTTTCTTAGTTAATCAAAAATTACGCCAAAAATACCCAGTCGATCACAGACATAATTATTTCAAAGTGAGCCCCTTACGTAGCTCAACAAACTTTAAGAAGGGTATAATCTCCAAAAAAATTTTATGAGTTAATTTATTTTTGTTTGATAGACAAAAAAGGTCATTTTTACTATATAAAATACCAATTTTTTATTTAAAAACAATTTTTAAACAATTTGCATTTTTTTTGGAGAAAATACCCTTGTTAAAGTTTGTTGAGCTACGCAAGGGGCTCACTTTGATATAATTATGTCTGTAATCGACTGGGTATTTTTGGCGTAATTTTTGATTAACTAAGAAAAACCAAAATGACCCATTTTTGGGGTAAAATTTCGGACCCGAATTTCGCAAAACAAATTACACCATATTAATTCTGCTAAAATTCTAAGCAAGTTTTGTCTTCATAAGTTTTGACCTAAAATCAACCCAATTTGAGAAAAACGCGTTTTAAATTTCAAGTTTAACGCGTTTTGTCCGGTTAATTTAAATCAGCACTGTATAAGCAATCATCATATTGCGTTGAGTGATAAACGATGCTAGATTTTTTCAACCCGTTTAAAATTTTCCTTTTCGGTCTAATTTCGAAAAAATAAAGCATATTCCTTGGAAATAAATCTTTCAAAAATTAGTTTTTCAAAAACGCGGAGCCCATCTTGGCTTTTTGTTTTATGATTGCTTTTTAGAAGACAACAGTAGACGATTATGTCAATGTTTCAACCATCCAGTTAAAAGCTTGCATCTAATTCGCTTACTTACAGCACGCAAAAAAAAGGACAAAAAAATTGAAAATAAAAGTTGATTTTTAAGCTTTTTTGACTGTGATCGCTATCCTTGGTACTTTCTGAGCTACTTGAACGGCAATCGGCAATCCTTGTTAATTGGGTTTTGATTTTTTTAACTTATAATGGAGCAGATATCAAAATTAAATTCAAGCAATAAGTTATTCGAACAATCTGAATCGATTTCTGAAACCATTAGTTTTATTTTTATGAGACAGTGCTGGCTGCAAAAATCCATTAAAATGATTTGAAACAACGATGTTTAAAAATATCTGAAAACAACGATAATTCAATAAGAGCAACACTAATGGAGCACGGCAAATACCGTCAAAACTAGTGACCTTAGTATTTCACGTTGAAACTTTATCGTTAAATTAGTTTGAACACTCAAAAATCAAGTTCTCCAGCCAAAAAATTTTGAAAGATTTTTGTTTGAAATTGCTGATCTGATCACAAAAATGCACAATATTGTGAAATGAAAAAAAAACTATGGAAAGCAAAACCGGTTTTTGCTGTGATGGAGGCATATTTTTAAAAAAAAATGGTCAAAAAAGAAAAAAACTAAAGGTAAAATCTGAGTTCGTAAATTTAGAACCAACATAAAAACCTCATACTTAAGATTTGTCAGTTAGTTGACGGAAATACAGATTAGAAGATGACCACCAGGTGATTTACGGTAGGGGGGTCTAGTACTCGGTTGCAACACCCTTGCTTATCGCGCTACTAATTTGTAAATCACGCTACCAATTGGAGACCTGGTTCATTTCTGTAAAACATTCCTTTATACCAGCAGCACTGGATGCGCTTTGACATATATTAGATCATGATTTTCATGCAACTCAGATTCATGTTTATAATGCATTTCCAAACTGGGTCAAAAAATTAATTGGCACCATTATAGTTGTCGGATCCTGGAAATATTTTTGTTTACAGGATCCTCCAATTTTAATTGATCTTCCAATCTGTACTTTAGATCAATAGACATAGTTGAGATTGCTTGATTTTCATATTCTCGTTATATTCGACTTCTGTCCTACATTGGTTTAATTTTTAAATTTCCTTTTTTACTTAATCGGCTTCAAAAGTTTCACGTTTTGTGGCCTCATATTGCGTGAATTCTTTTCTTAGATGCGTTTCTGTTTTGAGGTAGGGGATTTATTATTTTTTGTTTCGCGGAATTTCAAGTGTTTTAATGACAACTTTTTTCGACTTAATGCAAGTATGCTCAAGTATTGTCGGCTAATGTCCGCTTCGTTAATCTTAATGTGCTTACTTAACATTCAGTTGTCCCCATTGACATATTTCTTTCACAATAAACCTTAATCATCCTTCAGGTGTGCTTTAGTTGTTTTTCTCACGTTTTTCCATTCAAAATC